CACACACACACACACACACACACACACCTTTGGGCTTTTGAATATTGAATGAATTCATTTTTCCCAGGACCTATAATACAACTGCAACTACAGAATATAGACTAAATCTAGTTTCTAGTATTAAAAAGTGTCACTATAGGAAATAAGGCTAACCTCTACAAAAGATGTCATTTTTACCTTAAAGTGTAACATAAATTAAAATCTGAAAACATTAAGTGTATAAGGTTTTTTGAAAAACTGGCCATTATTTTTCATTTTCCAGAATACTGAGTAGTGAGTTTGTTTTTTTTTTTTTTTAATTTTATGTGTATGAGTGTATTGCCTGCATGTATGTGAGTGCACCCATGTCGTGCAGTGCCACAGAGGTCAGAAGAGGGAATCAGATTCCCCTGGAACTGAAGTTAAGGACAGTTCATAGCTGCCACGTGGGTACTGGGAATCGAATGCGGGTCCTCTGCAAGAGCAGTCAGTGCTCTTAACTACTGTAGAGCCATCTCTACAACCCCTGAGTAGTGGGTTTTTGTTTTTTTTTTTTAAATGGGTGCATTACACCAGAAATAGTGGTGCATTCCTTTAATCCCAGTACTTGGGAGGCAGAGGCAGGTGGATCTCTGTGAGTTCAAGGCCAGGTCTACATAGTGAGTTCCAGGACAGCTGGGGCTACAGAGAGACCCTGTCTCAAAAAGACCAAAAAAAAAAAAGATGATGGGTTTTTTGTTTTTTTCAAATGGGTACATCAAACAAAAGAATAATGCCTTCAAGATACCTTTTTTCTTTGCTTTCTTTTTTTCTTTTTCTTTTTTTCTTTCTTAAAGACCCAGATTGATCACTATGTTGGCATCGCCCGGGATCAGACCAAGTCAATTGTTGAAAAGTAAGTACACTTTGGACTGCTTTTATTGTTTCTCTTGTTCACCCCCTGGCCACCCCCACCACCACTCCTCCACTCCCCAATGTCCTAGTCTCCCACCCCTTCATCCCCTGCACCCTGACTGCCCCCTATTCCTCCACCCCAACCCTCTTGCCACCTTCCACCCCTCCACCAAGCCTTTAGTCTTATAAAATATTAATGTCAAAGATAATTTTCATCCTGATTAAAAACCTTTGCTAAGCCAGGCGTGGTGGCACACACCTTTAATCCCAGCATTTGGGAGGCAGAAGCAGGCGGATCTTTGTGAGTTCAAGGCCAGCCTGGTCTACATAGTGAGTTCCAGGACAGCTGGGGCTACAGGGAGACCCTGTCTCAAAAAGACAAAAAAGTTTGGCTAATAGTTTTATTTTCTTGAAATTATTTTTAAATTTTATTTATTTTTATTTTATACACATGAGTGTATTGCCTGCATATCTGTAAGTGCACCCATATCATGCAGTGTTCATGAGGTCAAAAGAGGATGTCGAATTCCCTGGAACTGGACTTATGGACAGTTGTTAGCCATCATGTGAGTGCTGGGATTTGAACCCTGATCTTCTGCAAGAGCAGTCCATGCTCTTAACTGCTGAGCCATCTCTCCAGCCCCTTCTTGAAATTATTTTATCTGCTTGTTAAAAAGCATCTTTGGGCCAAGTGTGTTGGCTCACACCTTTGATCCCAGCACTTGGGAGGCAGAGGCAGGCAAATCTCTTGAGTTTGAGGCCAACCTGGCCTACATAGTGAGTTCCAGGCCAGCCAAAGCTACATAGTGAGTGAGACCTTGTCTCAAAAAAGAAAAAAATATCTTCCCAGTTTCTTGATTGTGTATTGATTGGGTTGTTTGTTTTCTGAGAAAGGGTCTTGCTACATAGCCTGTTCTGGTCTTGAACGCAAAATCATACCCTCCAGCTATCCAGTAAGAAATGATCAGTGGAACCACTTTGACTTTCAAATGTTTTCGGTTATTTAACCCTTTTCTTATTCCCGTATGTATCCATGTTAAACCAAATTCTTCCCTGTCTTCCATTTCCATGTAAAAAGTGTAAGACTCAGACACAGTCATGATAGAAGCATGGGAAGGGCAGAGGCAGGAGCGAGGGGAGGACAGAGGCAGGAGTGAGTTCCAGGCCAGCCAGGGCTTACAGCAGGATTCTGACTCCAAAAAATACAAAACTTGATTTTTTAAAGATAACTCTCATTTCTAAGATTACCAAATCTCTGTTTTCCTTATTTTTTTGGCTTTATTTTATGTGTATGCATGTATTGCCTGCATGTTGGTAAGTGCACCCGTGTCATGCAATGCCCACGGAGGGCAGAGAGGCGGTCGGATCCCCTGGAACTGGAATTACAGTCAGTTGTTAGCTGCCATGTGGGTGCTGGGATTCGAACCCGGGTCTTCTTCAAGAACTTAACCACTGAGCCATCTCTCCAGCCCCCCGGCTTCCTTTTTTAAAATAATATTTATGAGAGGTCCAGTGTGGTGGCACACCCCTTGATCCCAGCACTGGGGAGGCAGAGGTAGGCAGATCTCTGTGAGTTCAAGGCCAGCCTGGTCTACATAGCAAGTTACAGGCCAGAGAGAGCTATAGGTGCCTCAAAAAGAAAATAAATAAATAAATAAATTTTTATTTTTATTGTATGAGTGTTTGTGTGTATATATGTGTACCATGTGTGGGCAGTGCCCACAGAGGCCCAAAGAGATATCCCTTGGAACTGGAGTTACAGTTCTGAACCGCCATATGGGTCCTTTGCCAGAGCAGCCAGTGCTCTTAACCCCTGAGCCATCTCTAGACCCTTCAGCTGTTGAAGAAAATATTAACTCGTCTTTGTGCTGCTGGAGTCCCTTTCCACCCCAGACTTTAGTGCTTTTTCAGATATATCAAGAAGAAACCGAGTAGGTTAGGTACATAGCTTAGTGGTAAAACATTTGCCCAGTGTGCATGAAGCCCTGGGTTCCCACCACCAGCACAGAAAGAAGAAACTAGGCAGATGTGCCTTGATGCTAGAGTCTTGACCTGATTTTTCTTTTTAAGGTGTAAGCTAACACTAAAAACATGCTGGCAGCACAAACCCATGCCTGGTTGCTGCTTACCAGCCTGCTTAGTTAAAGGGTGACAGCAGCTCTGCTACAGACCTGCTGTTGGCATTGGCAACGCTGAGGGGTTCGGTGCCAATCTGCCAGAATACAGGGCAGCTTTGGGGTCCTGGTGCCAGATTCTACAGTTCTGAGAACCAACAACCCGTGTCCTTTTTATACATCTTCATCATCCTGACTTCTGGTTCTTTTCTGGCACTAGTGGGTTAGTAACCTGGCTTTCCTTTTTGTGTGTAACAGAGGCAGAGAAATGGGCCTCTCACACTGGCACTGTGGAGTAGTGTCAGCAGCCTTTGGGCCCAGTACTTTTTCTGCAGCCCCACCCTTAAGGGAGACAGGCAGGCAGAGCTCTGTGAAACAGAGCCCAGCGTAGTCAACGTAGGGAATTTCAGGCCAGCTGGGACTACAGGGAGAGACCCTGTCTGAGCCCTGCCTATGCTCATCCCTGTGAAAGTACGACCCTAGAACACATGCCGATGAAAAGCAAGTATTTTCACCTTTTTGTTTTCTTTTTTCTTTCCTCAATAGGATCCAAGCAAAACTTCCTGGAATCACCAAAAAAAAGGCAGAATAAGCACATGGAAGCCAGAAGTGCACCAGCTACTACAGCACCACGTAATAGTTATAGCATCGTTATTTGTACTATGGCGGAACTTGCTCAGTGTCAGCTTGAGCCTACATTCCAACTTGTTTTTTCGTTTGGTGACTTCTCCCATCCTTCCCCATCCCCTCAGTATCAAGCACAAGAAGCGTTGGACTGAAAAAAAGAACAGATATCTTAGAGCCCCGAAGAATAAAGAATGAATCAAATTAATAGAATTAATCAGACCTTAACGGTGGTGCTTTTACCTGTAGCATGAAGGGGGAAACAAAGAGAACATGTCTCTTACATCCTCTATCCAGTTCCCAGGACTAGACTACAAAGCTCCCATTATGATTTTGCCCTTATTTTTATGTTAAGAAATAATGATTAACTTATGAAGAAGTAATTTGGGGCAGGAGTGGGTCCTTCCATTGGGTCTGTGGCCCTGCAGTCCCACCTCCTGCCTCACAATGTGAGCAGTTTCTAATGTTCGCCTCTCTTAGAGATAGACCTTTCACTCTTGAGTAACCTACAAGTGATAGTGGTAATTCCCTAGTCCCAGAATGCCATCAGAGAAGTAACAATGGGATGGAGGAGTCAGCAGGAGGGCAGCAAGGCCACCCTCCCTCTGTGGGGAGGGAGGGCAGAGTCCAAGCTCTTTGTCTAGGATACCAGTGTTGGTTTGAGAACTCAGTCCAGAGTGTGCTTTCCCCTGTTCCCTGCCCACCTTACCTCAAGTTTAATAAATATGGTTGTGCTTTTCTTATTACAAAATAAATGTCTGTAACTGCTGTACACTGCTGTAAACTTGTTAGAGAAAAAAGATTCTGCATGTGGGCTTCCCAGTTACTGAGCAGTTGTAATCCTCTCTGTGGGGTGGGGACGTTTCTCCTGAGAATGACTACAGACACACAGAAGCCTTCCTTCCTGGTTCCTTCCCTGCTGATTCCTTCTCCTGGCTGAATCCACTTGTGCTTATCAGTTTAGCCTGAGGACCAAAGTCCTGCTGGCCAGAGACCATTTGTGTGTAGTTCTGGAGGCCACAGATGGAGGGAAGTGCAGTTCCTGGTTCATGTGCACTGTGAGAGCTTGAGGTCAGCTTATAAGTATGTGTTGTTCTGAGGGTGCTCTGCACTTCCACACACATAAGATGGTGTCGTTCCTGCCATGGCCCTGGGTGCGCCTTTGGAGAGTGTTTTCCAGTCAGGCAGGGCCAGGTGATGTCGACAGACAGTAGAACACACGTTGACATCAGTAGAAGGTGACTGGGAATCTTGGATTCCCATCTGAGACTCCCCTTCAGCATAGAAATCCAGTCAACTTGAAAACAGTTGTCCAGGAGTTCCCTCAGCTCAGTTCTGCCTGTTGGAAGATAGTTTGAACTGAGGCACTTTAAGGGCTCCCGAATTTGATGGTCCCAGGGTTGTGCAACTCTACTGAGTGGGACCTCTTTCCCCTCTGGGAAACTAGAGTCTGCATAGGTGAGAGGTGCCTCTGCCTTGCTCCATTTTCTGATTTTGTTCTCTTCCCACTCCACTTCATTTTGAATGTTTTAACTGGTTTCTGTTGTAGAAAACACTCTCCATCACCATCCTCTGCCCTCCAGGAAGTGAATGCATGGATGGTCTTCCAGGCTTCCCTCCAAAGGACCCCTTGCTGCACTGGAAGCCTCCACACCTGGCTCTCTTCTTTTGTTGCTGCTGTGTTATAATTGGAGAGAATTTTGTGCCGCGCAGGAATTTTTTTTTTTTTTGAGAAAAATCTATAGGTGAAAAAATTACTAATGAAATTGTGTACGTGTCTGTGCGTGCAATATATAAAAATGCAGTAGTACTCGAGGAGCTCCAATTTTGGTTCCTGTAAAACTGCAAAGTGATGTATTAAAAAAAATAAAGAACACAGTGACTGTCATCAGTCTGCTAACTTTATTCTTTATACATAGTTTGGGTAAAGTAAGAACCAAGCAAGGCTTTCATTACCCCACCCCGACTCCCACTCCACTTTGGGGACTTTCAGAAAGGATTCTGAGATTGCAAGAAATGTACACAGCAGTGAGGACAAGCTGTGCATTTGGTTTCTGGAAAGCAGAGGCCCCTGCAAGAGGTGACCTTTGGAGACAAAATGGGGGTGGGAGACCCTGGTTCAGTCTCACCAGCCTCGGAAGGGTCCCCACTGACCACATGAGGCAGCCTGTAAACCACATGCACCCACAAAGCCCCGAAATTGAGACCTGGCCACTGCAGGTCCCATCTGGTCTCACATCCGGACCCATTTCTGAATTGCTCTTCCCCAAACTAAGGCTGCTGTGACTCAAGCTGGACTTTAAGATTTTATTCAAGATACTGCTTGGAAAACTTAGGCTGAAATATTTTTTAAATGACTGATGCAAACAATTTCACAAATACACATACAAATGTTTGAATAATGTCACTAACAGCATATAAATATGTATTCAGTAACATTTACATATGGGTCAGAATAGCAAGCATACCATTAAAACAAAACATGAAGAAACTTCACCTGTTCATGTCAGAATCCAAAGGCAAGGAGACCTAGGCAGGGCCAAGGACCAACCATGACCTCGAGGCCATGACCCTCGGCCTATGAGGCCACAGATCCAGTTGGGGTAGGAGCCACTGCAGAGGCCCTGGGAACTTCAGCTGCATGAGAAAGGCATTGTTGGGCTCCCTCCCTTAGGAAGTACCTGTGGGGCCCAAGGATTTCTATCTAGCAAGTTCCTACGATGATGCTGCTGGCTTGTGGGCCGCTGGAGGGCCGGTCATACATCTTCCTCAAAGGGAAAACCATTCCTAACATCCCTGCCCTGGCTTAACCCGAACTTCAGCAGTGGGCTCTGGTGATTAGCAGCAGTAGCTCCAATTCTGCCTGTTTTTAAAGGGCAGCAGAGGGGAGAAAATGGCAGAATACTCATTCTGGATTTGAAAACACTTGCGATGGAAAGAAAAAGGGCAGTGCCAAGTGTGGCACCATCCAGAATCTCTGCTCTCGAGATTTTAATACTGTCTCAAAAAACCCTGGCGGGTCAAACTGGAAACACTTTCAGTCTATTCCACAATACCTAATGCAGCGCCTGCCCTACTGGGAAGACCCGGCCCAAAGGACGAAGCCCCACCTGGCTCTGATGGAAAAGCTGCACCGGAGTTGCCCTGTAGAACCCTGGCACCCTGTCCCAGGAAGTGCAGCACTTTGCTGCCCTCAGGAGTCACTGCACTGTGACGGCCTACAGTGCCCAACACTTCTACACCTTGGCAGGTCTAATGGGTAGACATCTTAAGTTTGCCAGGGACTGGGAAGTGGTGTGGTATAGTGCAAAGCTCACTGAACTGGGAGTTGAGATCTAGTTCTTGTCCTGTTCCTGGCTGGCTATGTGAATTTCTGAGCTTTGGAATTGTACCTATCTACAGGTGAAGAAGATATGTGATTTCCAGAGTCCTTTCCAACTGATAATCCTGAATTATATAAAAATGTTATAAAATCCGTGGTATAAAATCCAACTCCCAATCAGGAAGTCTAGGGAACTAGGCCTGAGGCACTTGAACCATGGAGTTCTGGCTCTGGTGTGTGGGGGGGGTGGGGGGTGAGAGAGGGGATTTCCTCTTTTACTTCCATTTTCCCACCAAAAGGGCCAAACTCACCCCCATACCCAGGGCAGCTCCCAGGTCCCACCCTTGACCTCCGCACCCTGACTATAAAGACAGTGCTTGCAGTGGCTTCCCTTTGTGGAGAGCAAACACTGTGGCCCAGAGACGCAGGGCCTGAGGAGCGTGAGATAATGTCCTCCCAACCTCCCTCATCGCCCCTCTCCGCACCCCCGTCTCTGCATCCTTGCGCCATCTTCCTACAGGTCCTTCACCTCACAGCTTATCTCTGATACACGCATAATAAATAAGACATTTGCACGGAAGGGCAACTGGGCCAGTTTTCCCCCTCTCCCCTTCATATAAAAGCATTAAATACAGTTTCAAAATAAAATACAAAGAAAAAAACGGCCTGATCTCGGGGCCACCTGTTCTCCATGGGAGAATGAATCTACACATCCCTCTCGGACCTGCCTGGGAGATCGAGGGCCCTTAGCGCTGCCGCGGGTAAGAAAAAGGGAGGCCGAGGCCCCGCCCCAGGCCCTGAGAGCTGAGAAAGGGTGGCACACGCACCAAGGACCAGCCACGCACGGAGGGGGCAAGAGCACTGAGCAACTGCCCGGCCCCCCCGAGTTCGGACCGTGCTGGCGCTGAACCCGGAGCGCCACTACACTCAGCTAGGGGGAAACAGGCCCTCAGAGCAGAAGAGCAAAACGAGGAAAGTGCTAATCCCTTTACGGTCCCGGTCCCGCGGGCGTGGCCGTCGGGTGCGCCGTCATGCTGGCACAACTGGCAGGGCCCGGCCCCTCCGCCAGCACGCATCCAAGGTGCCCCTCGCGCCCACCTCCTGCCCCAGGTCCCAGTCCGCAGCCTAGGTCTCCCCGGAGGCCAAGCTTGACGACGGCGCAGCCTGCAGCCCGAGCAGGGAGCCGCGACTGCGGGTGTGTGAGGCCGCAGAGGGCTGGGCCCCGGCCAGGGCTATCAGCGGCCGACGCGTCCATCCTGACTTCCCCGCGCCCTACCTTCCACCCTAACACTAACAGCCGGCACCGCCACCCAGGCCTGGCAACTGAGCGCGGCTGGTGCTGCCCAGAACGCAGGCGCCGGTGCGAGCGCTTGGAAGTGCTTTGGCTTCTCGGGAAGCCTGGGGCCCCCGCGAGAAGCCGCCGGGGACCCCCACGCGAGTGCGCTCCCGGAGCGTGCGGGCTAGCTGGCACCTCAGGGTGGCACTCCACCCCAAACTCTGCCCATCCCGGCCAGCGGGGGGACGCAATAGCTGCCAGAGCCGCGAAAAGCCCCAGCGCCGGCCACCAGGGTCTCCGCCAGAGGGTCAGGCGAGCCCGGGGGGAGGAGGGGCCGAGTCCTACGCGCGGCATGCGGCGCCGGGCTTGAGGTCCGCGCCGCCGTCGCGCGCCGCCGGAGCGGGTGGCCCGAAGCCCTCGTGGCCGTAGCAGCGCAGCGCAGCCTCCTCGTAGGCTTCCAGGATGGTCTGGCGCTCCTCGGGGGTGAAGTCCATGGAGAAGGGGTGCACCTGCAGGATGTGTCGCTTGATGGTGCTCACCTTGAGCGTGGCCAGTGCGCCCCCACACACCATGCACACTAGGCCGCGCCGGCTGCCGTCGTAGTCCATCAGGTACTCGCCCCGCCAGCGCGGCTGGTAGTTGCGCCGCTGCTCTCGGCTGCGGGGTGGCGGCGGCGGGGGAGGCGGCGGCGGCGGCGGCGGCAGCGGCGGGAATGCCAACCCCCCGGGGCCGTCGTCTTCATCCTCCTCCTCATCCTCCTCCTCCTCGGCCGGCCGCTCCGGCGGAGCCCCAGGGGACGGCGGGACGTCACCTAGGGAAGAACAAAGGGCTGCGTTGGAGAAGTGGCGGGAGCCTCCGGGTCTCGCGTCCTCTCCGGACTCTCCTCCCATAGTCCTCCCCTGCGCTCTCGGCTCTCTCCACCCTTCTCTCCTCGCCAGGCCCTCGGTCCCAGCCTGCCCGGCTCCCGGCCCGCTCGCCCTCGCCAGCTGCTCGCCCTCCCGGGGCTCACCCCACCACTCCTCCTCTGGCTCCGCCTCCTCTGCCCCTCCCCCCTCCTTCGAAGCCGAGGCAATGCTGGGGGCCGCGGGTGACTCCGGGCTGGGCAGCCCCAAGGCCAGCAGGTGGGCGGCCTTCTCGCTCCACTCTTGCGCGATGAGGGCCTTCACAGGCCCGCTGAGGCTCGTGGAGCCCGGGTGGCGCTGGCGGATGTGTCGCTTGATGGTGCTCATCTTGAGCGAGGCCAGCGCGCCCCCGCACACCATGCACACCAGGCCGCGCCGGCAGCCGTCCAGCTCCATGAGGTACTCCAGCCGCCAGCGCTCCTGGTAGTGGCGGCGGTGGTCTCGGCCCCTCCGCGGCCGGCCTAGGGTGCCCGCCCTCTCGCCCTCGCCCTCCTCCAGCTCCTCCTCCTCCTCCTCTGCGGGCCCGGGCCTCTCAGGGGCCCAGCCAGCCTCTTCCTTTACGTCGGGGGGGCTGAGATCCTGAGAGGAGGGGGCTCCAGCAGCTGGGGCGGAGTCCCGGCTCTTTCTGGTCAGGTCCTGGGGGACGAGGTCATCGTCTGTTGGGGAAGGGGTGAGGGAGAAGGGCTCAGCCTCCTGGCTGGGTTGCCCTTACCCATACAAGAGGGGTTCCATCCTTGCTCCTCACCCCAGCCCCAAGCTAGCCGGCCCCAGCCAGAGAGAGAGAGAGGAGGGAGAGAAGGAGAGCGCTGTGTGCGTGTCTGTGCAGAGGATAAAGGAGTCAGCCGAAAGTTCCTGCCTCCCAATTCTGTCCGGCAGCCCCGCCGCTGCTGCCCTACTACAAAGGGATCTCGGCCCTGGAACCACCTCGCACCTGGTGGGGACTGGGTGAGCTCTGACTGCGCCTCAGGCTGGTCACCCCAGGCCTGCAGCAGGGCACTGCGCTGGGGGCCACTGAGCCCCAGGGAGCTGGGGTGCACCTCCAGCACGTGAGCACGGATGTCGTCCAGGTGCAGGCTGGGCAGTGCCCGGCCGCAGGCCATGCACACCAGCCGGTTCCCCCGTGGGTCGTAGTCCATGAGACACTCGGCCCGGAACCAGTTCTGCAGGGACTCCTTCAGCCTCCGCTCCAGGCGCCGGGCCCCTAGCCCCCTGCTGCCCCCAGCCCTTCGGGAGGCAGAGAGGCGCCGGCGCCGCGGTGCCACTGGGCCCCCTCGAACCCCTCGCCGCTGGCGCCGGCAGCCCCCACCAGCTGGGGCTTTGCCTGAAAGGGTTGGAGGGAATCAACTGAGACCTGGACCTCTGGGAGCCCCCCACCACAGCCAAGAGCCCCACAGCCTCTTTCTCACTCAGCTCTGACCTTTGCCTTTCTCTGACATCTTTTTTTGTTTGCATTTAGGCAGAGTCTTGTTACAGCCCAGGATGGGCTCAAACTCCCTAAGTACTAGCCAAAGCTGTCTTTGAACTCTTGATCCTCTGGTCTCCAACTCCCTGGTGCCACCATATGCCACCACACCCAGCTCCCTTCATCTTAGCCCCTCCCCCTAATTCTCCAGCTCTTCCACTCTTAAGCCCCACCCTACTAGTCCCTTCCCTGGGCTTCACTGTTCCAGCTTACCCTCACTGGCTTCCAGCCCTTCCTCCACCTATCCCTGCGACCTCTACTCTCCTTGCTCCTAAGGCTACACAATGTCAAGTCTGTCAGGGATGCTGGAGACTACCCCCATTCTACCATTCCTCTCCACACTCAATAGGAAGGACGGTAAACAGACCTCAGCCAGAGAGGGAGCAGTAACCTGCTCCAAAAAATCATCAGCTGGAGGAGAGGAAAGCTGCCCCATTTGCCCCATTGCGCCCGAGCCCCTGCTTCTCCACATTCTGTATTACCTGGGCCCTTGGGTGGGCAAGCTTGAAGGCTGGCCCCCTCCTCCTCCTCTTCATCATCTTCTTCCTCCTCCTCCTCAGCCCCCTGGGCCCCCAGGCTCTCAGCCTCACCACAGGCCCCCAGCCCCAGATGTGCGTCCCAGCTGTTGCTGATGACTTCCTTTTCCCGGGGACTCCAATGCAGAGAGTAAGGGTGCTTCTGACGGATATGTCTCTTGATGGTGCTGAGCTTGAGGGTGGCCAGGGAGCTGCCGCACACCATGCACACCATGCCATGCCGGGCCGGGATGAAATCCATCAGGTACTCCAGCCTCCAGTGGTCGTGGTAGTAACGACGGTGGTCCCTGCCAGGGATGCGGCTTTTTCCAGGCCTTGAGGCCCGAGCCTCACAATGGTCTGAGTATTTCCTGCCTGAAGATGCTGGTCCCCTGGCCCTGGAGGAGGGTAGGGGGGTACTCCCCCAGGACCCCAAGGCACCCCCTTCCAGCTGAAGAGCTTGTCCTGAAGAAGGGAAAAGGGAGACAGTTTTTCAATCTCCGATTTCCAGGGAAAGAACTCAGGGCTTTGATTTGGAAGCCTGAGAAAGGGAAGTGGGGGAAGGGAGTCTGGGCCAGGGAATGGATGGCAAGAGCAGTAAAAGGGATGTGGGAGATACAGGGAGTCCAAACACCCTCTACAAAGAGCAAGGACCCAGAGAGAGGATAGAACAAAAGGATATATGGTACTGTGCAAGCTCAATGCAGGTTTTTTAAAGACAAGGCAAAGGCCAAGGAGGGTGTTGGTCTGCAAGGTGTCCTTTTTGGAAGAGGTGTAGGGTAAAGCCAGGAAAGCAAAGGGCTGGCCAGTTACAGCCGGCATAGAGCAGGCAGAGGGGCCAGAGGAACAAAGGGGGCATCTGTCTGCATCCAGAGCTGTGCAAAGGACCCACCCACCTGGGGCCCCAGCCAGGAGAGCCCCACCCAAAGGTCTTCTCCCTTTTTCTAGTAGTGCCTCAAATACAGCCTCTCATGGCTACCAGTTTAGCACTGTCGGGTGGCCCACTGGAGGGATACCCATGACTAAGCTGTCAGCACCTCCAGGGAAAGGAGTTTCTCAGACCTGGACTTCCTCGGAGTCTGAGGACCAATGACCCTTAAAAGGAATGGTAGAAGGGCCACCAGAGAGACTGCTGAAGGCACTGCAGCAGCGACAGGTCACCACCCACCAGAGCCCATCAAAGTCTTTCTGGGGATTCATCTTTTTTTCTGGTAGGGAGCTTGTTACTACCCAGCAATCAGAAGGGTAGGCACTGGTGGGGCCCCACCAGCCCACTAGTGTTCCTTTTGTCAAACAAACACCCTACCTTCCCTGCAGATCTGGCAATTTTTTATTTAGAAAATGGTCTCCTGGCCATAAAGACTAATCATGAGGGCTCTGGTCATTCTCCCTGTGCAGAATCTCAGGGTCGGATAAACAAAAGACAGGACCAGAGGGGACTCCTGTCATGTTGTGGAGTTTTCTTTTGTTTTAGCTTTATTTTTTAAAGTATAGCTAAAGAAAAATCAATGAATGCAAGTCATGGTTTCACTGGCGACTTGCTCAGTGACCTTTGGTGGGTTATGTCCGCTCTCTGGGCCTAAGCGTCTTTGTCTGCAAAGGCACTGACTGGATAGCTAACGGTCTCTGAGCATCCTTCCAGTGCTGCACGGAGCCATGGAAGGCTAAGGCAGGCTGGCCCTTTAAGAGCAGGAAGGGGGGTGCGGGAGGAGCTGAGATTCTTTAAAAACAAAAGGGGTTGGGGAGTTTGTGGGAGCGGAGCGCAGAGACTGGGGCACAGTCTCCCCAGCCAGGACAGAGCCTTCACGGATCTTAAGGCATTGAATTCTGCAGCAGGAAGGACACCCCCCACCCCAAAAAAGGCCACACTCGGCTTTGAGGGCCAGCGAGGACCGGCCGATCCTGGCACAGATGACAAATTGGGGCCCAAATGCTGAAAAGCGACAACGCGGGGGAAGGGGTGTCTGCCTTTGTGGGCGAACCTATCCCTTACTTAAAACCTTCCCGCTGTGGGAGGAGGGGGTGGTGGGCCCCGGGGGCGTAGGCTATGCGTTTATTTTCCCTTTGCGAGTAGGTGAGGGAAGAGCCCCTTTCTCCAACAAGGCCACGGAAGGGACAGCACGACCGAGAACAGCAGAATCCTCGAACTCTGGGGAAAGCACCCCAAGGGGCACGGGGGCTGGGCGGCCTTTTAAAAGACAGTTGGATGAGAAAGACCACCTGGGAGTCTACAAGAATGAGGGGCGGGGGCCGCAAGTGCAACCGCGGGGAGGGCCTGTCCGGCCCCCCAAAGCGGGGCGCCGCGGGGCCGGTTGGGGAGCAGGGGCTCCGCCCGAGTCGGGCGGACAGACCCCAGGATCTGGGCGGGGGGCTCCCCGCGCGCCCTGCAGCGGCCATCGGCGCCCGCTAGGTGGCGCCCCCGACCGCCCTACCCGCGTCCCCCCCTTTGTTCGGCGGCGGAGAGGGGCCCGGAGCCCGGAGCTGCAGCCCTCCCCTCCCCCACGCCGGGGCCCCCGCCCGGGCAGCCGGCCCCAGCTCTTACCGCCGTCGTCCTCCTCCGGCTCCGCGCCACCGCTCGTTGCGGCGG